CCCTGTTCAACCAACTGTTCTCGAACCCCGTTATCAACCAACTCACTTCTGTTGTTGTCTGCCATTACCTTTTGACTTTATGTTGTAGAGAGGGGTTACCACTTTAAAAATCACAAACCAACCACCCTTCTGCTACAAATATAACAAAATGAAGACATCACGTTAGCATTAGGACATTTAACATAAGATAATCTAACTTTATATGCACTACACCTAACCACAGTTATCGGTTCCAAAATGACTTCGAGGGTACAAAGGTCAGTTGACATCATCCCAATTTGTTCATTTCAACCTTCTCCTTTATTTGTCTTTTTAGCACTTCTTAGCTCGCTCATTTTCTTCCCTTTTCTTTCTGATTGTCGCTTTTTTCTTCCTTCACAATTCTCACCTCTCATACTTTCACCATCTTTTTCTCTCTCTTTTTTCTTTTTTTTTCTTCTTTTCTTTTTTAAAAAATAAAAAAATGATTCGATCGAACCCTATGTAGGTTGCCTACGTATCATGACGCCGCATGAATCAGATCTTTGCGTAGTTCGGGAAGATCGGAAATAAAGGAAACAAACTGACGTTCTCTGTTTCCACCTTAATGACTCTAACGAGAAAAGGGAAATAAAAGAAACAAATCTCTTTTTTGTTTTTAAAAATTCTAGACTTAATGTTCTATAAGCTATTCTAAACTCAAGCCTAACGAGCATATATTTTGCTTTTTTTTTTTTGCTTTTTTTTTTTAAACAAACACTCAATGAGAAATTATTAAGGAAAACCCTTAGAAGAGAAAACAAATATTTTTTTTGATTCGCTTTTTTTAAGGAGGAAATCTAAACAATAAACCACAGAAAGTGCTTTTGGATTTCAATTTTGATTACCTAAAAAAAATTCTAATGATAAACAAAAGATAAAGTATTTTTCTATGTACAATATCCTAAAGTTCTAAAGAAAATAATTTTTTTTTATTTTTCACTAATTTCCCAAAGAGACACCTCAAAAGAAAATCTTTTTGGATTTTGGAATTAACACCCTAAAGAAAGCTTTTAAAGAAGTACTAAAAGAAAATTCTTTTTTTTTGAATTTTTGTCCTAATATACTAAAGGAAACATAAAAACAATTCATTTTAAGTCCTAGATATTAATTGCCTAAAGGAAAAACAACCTCAAAATTTTCTCATTTCTAGAATTAACATTCTAAAAAAAACTTATAACGGAAATATAAATGCAACATCTCTTTTTCCTTTTTTGGATTTTGAGTTACAACACATTTTTTCAAATATAAAACAGAAAATACAATAACAAAAGACTTGACATTACTGTACAAAACTAGAAAGTAAAAGACGACATAAAATGAATAACGGACTCAAAACATAAAAATAAAACAAATCTCCTTAAACAACTCCTGACTGAGCGATTCTGACTGGATGGTCACAGGGAATCTGCCATGCTCAAACTTCGGTAAATAAATCCACATCTGTATGACAAAACTTTAACCAGCACTATGTGAGATAATAACACTCCCTATTAAACACATGCAATACATAATTGGGACTATTTTTGCAAAATGACTTATTTGGCCAAAAGGTGGCTAGAAGTGAGAAATTTGGCTAAGACCCCGCAAAGCCAAGAACTTAAGATTTACTAGGAAGACCGAACCCTATGTGGGTTGCCTACGTATCCCGCCCCGAGAGACGAGAATCAGGTTCGCGTAGTTCGGGCAAGTTGGATACGGGCGAGAATAATAAAAAAACCACTAATTCATAGAAATCACATGTTTTCTTGCTTTTCTTGAAAAATGACGAAACATGCAAAATCTTTTTGGATTTTCTTTTCTCTCTTTTTTTTGATTTTTGATTTTTGAAAAAATGATGAAAAAGTGCAAAATCTTTTTTTAAAATTTTTCATGTTTTTTTTTTGTCTTTTTTCTTAAAAATGTAACAAAAAAAAAACATAACTAGACCCTACTTTTTTTTTTGTCTTTTTCATGTTATTTCTTTTTCCTTTTTTTCTCTTTTTTTTCACTTCTTCATTTACCCTCAGTTATCATTGGTCCGCCAAATGACCCTTTTACCCTTGAATAAATGCAACATGTAGCACATAGGATGCATCAATATGGTATATTATTTTGGTACACCTGTCCTAGACAGACCCAACCCCTGTGTTGAGTCCCCTAAGTCAAATGCACATGATGCAAACAAACGTTCCTACTAGGGATCCGGTACGAGGCTATGTTTTTCTAGGTTTAAATCCTGGGTTTTTGGTCTAGACTTGGGGTACCCGAGCGGACAACTGGGGCCGAGGAGGGGGCGACGTACCGGGAGCATTGAAGTCTACCCGGCCTTATCGCTTGCCCGGCCTCGTTCTATTTGGCATAATTTCTACAGAAAAAGCGGGCCACGCGAACGTGTGCACCATTTTCTAAAGACTCAGATGGGTGGCGTAAGAAGACAGTTATATACAATTCAAACAATAATAAAGCAGTAAACAATTAACATTTAACACAAAAGATTCACAGAATACAGTAATATTAACAATAAATGAAGCCAAGTAAAAATCATTAACAAGCTCGAATTCTTGAACCCTGAACCAGAGATTCTGGGTTCGGTCCCCAGCAGAGTCGCCAGAGCTGTCACACCTCCTTTTTACCTAGACCCTTTAGTGGGTATAAATATAAGGGAGTTTTTCCAATTAAAGGACAATCGAAACGGGATCGTTTATTTATTAAAAATCAGAGTTGCCACTTGGGATAATTTAGGGTGTCCCAAGTCACCGGTTTAAAATCCCGAATCGAGGAAGTTGACTCTTATTTATGGTTCACAAACACAAAAATTCGGGTAAGGAATTATGTTAACCCGGGAGAAGGAGTTAGGCATTCCCGAGTTCCGTGGTTCCAGCACGGTCGCTTTGATCATACTTGGCTTATTAAAATTGTTTAATTACTAAGTTTCGATCCTATATACTTTTATCTATTAACCGCTTTTAAATCACTTGGTTATTCGTAGTTAAAGAATTGAGTTACGCGTATGTATACACTTTTTCTTTGGCGCGTCAAAAATCATGTCACGCGAACGTGTCCATAATTAATAACGCTTTGTTTATTTATTTAAGAAAATTTGGTTGAAGTTGCGCGAACGCATCCCTCAAGTCACTTTTAGAATTTGCAATCATGTCACGCGGACGTGTCCACAACCGCAGTGGTATATTAAACATGCCTAAAGCAAACTACAAATGTACAATTATTTTCCTAAAGCTAATGTGAGATTGTTGTGAGGCCAAAAGGACTTTTAGGAGCACACGACATATGGGTGTTAAAATTTCTATTTTTCTACTTCATTTTGTTTTAGCCTTCATTTAGGTTACATGTTATACACATTTAGGCTACATGCTATACACGTCAGAATGGAACACACGGCTAAATCTAAACTAATAATGGAATGTGCACTGACCAAAAGTGAGACAAACGAAGCCTCCTTTTTTTAAAGAAAATGATCAAGAAAACTCCCTTAGGCCATGATATTCCAAACAGAGTAGAACAAGTAAACTCCCTTAAGTCACGAAAATAAAGTAGACAACTGATTTCCTCTTTAAACCCACGTACCCTTAGATTTAAAATTGAACAAAAATTCATATCCTCAGTCCATGAAACGTAAGCTGTTGCAATAAGTTTTAATGGCTCTTTCATGTTTCAGTCATATAAAAACAGATTAAAGTAAGAAAGAGAGATAGAATAGACCTGAGAGTTTAGCTTTCGATTAATAGGGCTTTGGCAATTACAACAAGTGAAACGAGCCAAATGAATAGATCCACAACAGAAGATTTCAACTGAAATTTCCAAGCAACAACTGCTAACCTCGACGGAACTTGACCAGACCCCGAAACCAGCATCACCTCGACGTACGAACGGAACGCCCAAGTTTATAGCAATGTCGAGTTTCAGAAGCTCGAGCTCGACAAAAAAAATGGATAGCGATAACCATAGACTGGACCAACGTGCGGCAACTACCACACGACTCGAACTCACAAATGACTCTAAATTTCAGCTGTCTTACGCTCGTTACCTCACTCCGTTCATGTGCGTGACTGTGTGTGTGCGAAGGCGAAGCTCGCCAGATATGGCGTCACTGGCAGAAGGTCCGGCAGGTCAAGGTCGACGAGATGGGTGGTGGGGAGCTGGTTGTTGGGTCGTTTCGCTACGGTGGGCTCGTTGGAAGCTGCTGGTGTGAGGTCGCTTGGTTCTACTTGTTGCGTTCGGAACTCGTTACTCCGACAAGCTGGTGGAGTTCATTTTTCCCGGTGAGTTTCAGGCCATGGCTGCTGGTCTACCAGACTCCGACGGAGGTGGGGGATGTGTCGTTTGGACTGAACAACATCGGCAGCGTGGTTGAGGAAGGGAGGTGGTCGTTGGTGCATGTGTGCATTTTCACTAGTTGTTTTCGGCGAGGGGGTGTTTGTTGGTTTTGCTGTTGAAGAAAAGGCAGTAGGGAGAAGGGTGTTTGAATAAGACAATGCGAGGGGTGGGGGGTCGTTCTCTGGTGTCGAGTTCTAAAGAAGACGATGCGCAGCTTCTGCGTATTTTTGCTTTCAGCCCTTTTTTGTTCTTCTTCTTTCTTTTTCCTTTTTATTCTTTTTATATTGTAGGTTTTTGGTAGGGTTTTTAGGTTAAGGGGTATGGGCCTAGGAATTTTGGGCTTGTTAATTGTGAGCTAGGTCCAAAATTAAGCCTAAAAATGGGTTGCTCGAACCCAAGATCTATTCCTTCGCTGCGAACGAGATTAAAAATACGGCCCCATTTATTAATTATTACTACTATTCAAATAATTATTAAAATAAAACTAACCATTAAAACAAATCTATTTTTGGTATTTTCAAATATCATATTAATACAAAAATACGATACTATTTTTGTGTATTTTTTTAGATAAAAAATGACTACAAAACATTAATGAACCTATTTTTGTTAATTTTTGTTTTCTTGTAATAAAATAGAGTAAAAGAGTCAAAATTACTTAAAATATCTATATTATGCCATTAAATATTTACGCGCTAAAATATAAAAAATCTTGGGGAAGGTCAAAAATCACATGTCTATAGTACTCCTCTAATTTGGCTTGCTCAATCACCACCAAGAGATCAAATCCCCTAGCATGAATCTCCTCAAGGATTTCCCTCCGGGATCTACACCTCACGTACTCCTTGCTATTGTTGGCACGATCGAGGGTCTTCTGCAACTCAGCTTTAGCGGTGGCAGTGCTTCTCGAATAAGCCGCCATTTTCTGTCCCTCCCTGGTATTGTTCATCACAACCTGGGCCCAGACATTCACCACCTCGGTTTTTGCCCTTGAAAGCTCGGATGAGAGTCTCACGATCATCTTCGCCCATGCAGAATCATTCGCACGGGCAACCTAAATTTGTGCCTCGAGAGCGGAAGCCCTAGCCTGAGCCCTCTTTTTGGCCTCAGAACGAGCATTCACATGCGCTTGTAGCTCGTTGAATTCACATTTGGCTTTGCCAACCTTGCCCCAGAGTTGATCCAGCTCATCCGCCTTATCCATCAACTGAAACAGCAACATGTCAAGATGGCGAGACAAAAAGGGAATATAGGACAGTGCGAAATGCAGGATACCTGTTTCTCCAAGAGGGCCTCCTGGGCCCGACTATGGTCCACCTCATGCCGTAAAGAGACGAGCTCGATTTCCTTTGCCACACAAAGAAGCTTGAGGGATTTCTCCCTATCTCGAGCTTCCTGCGACAGGGCCTCGTAATGAAGCAGTTTGGCTTTGAGCCTATCAAAATCCTGAGAAAGAAAGCCAGGTAAACAAAAAAAAAAAGAGGAGCACAGGGACAGAACATCCTTACAGTGGCCGAAACTCACCATAAGGCCAAAGCGCTGAGCCTCACCAAAGGCCAAAGCAACGTCCGATGATGCACCAACCCCGGAAGATTGTTGGTCAGCCAAATCGCTTCCCCTTAACCATTGCGAAGAAGGCGCCTCACCACAGGCCTTCTTGCACCCTGGGGCATATTTCCTTTTTGCCGGTGTTCCATGACCCCGGGTTCGGCAATATCCCCTCCTCCCTTAGGGGAATCGACCTTGCTTCGAAAAGACTCCTGGCACCTGCAGCAGATAAATCAGATGAGCCAGCA